GACAGGGCTCTGCTCTCTCCCCAGCCTCAGCCTCAGCCTCAGCCCCGCCCCCCAGCCACGCGCTTCCCGGGCCCAGCACCCGCCCAGCGCATCTGGGTCCTTCACCCAGAAAGAACACTAACGCCTTTTCCGTTGTAGGAAGATCGTTTTTAAGACATTTGACACTTTCTACTATAGTTTACAGAGCAGATCATTTTATTTTTATTGTAAATCTTGGTGAGGAAGAGCTGATTTCTAAACTACAATGGGAGTGAATGTATATGTGCGACTCTAGGAGGGTTCTCCCTGGCCCTGCGTCGGCGGCCTGCGGGCAGCCTCGGAGTGGGTGCATGGTCTCGGCTCTGGGCGCACGGCCTCGGCTCTGCGAGCGGCGGAAGATGCTGGTCCTTCTCCCACCAGGTGCTGGGAACGTGCTGCTCGTCACGCTCTTCCCCGCCCTGTCAGGAGCCAGAGCCCTCGGGGGATTTATTTTCTAAATAAAAGAAGTGTCTGCCAAGAGCACAGGTGACTCCTCACTCATGCCCGTGGCTCCTTCCCCTGGGCCAGGGCCTCGTGCCTGTGGGGAGGCTCCCCTCCATCATAGATGGCCCTGCAGACGCTGGGAGTGGTCCATGGAAGGTGACACCCCTATAGGAGCCACACCGCCAGCCCTCCTGACGAGCTGACCCCGGGGTGGGGGTCAGGGTGGGGTGCTGAGGGGCAGAGAGCTGGGAATGTTGGGAAAGGACCCACAGCGGGTGGGAGGTCTGCTAACCCGCACCTGACACGCACCTGCACACTTGTGCTGAGCAGTGGCATCTGTCCTTCAGCTCAGCGGTGGCAGGAAGCAGGTGTGCGGGGTCCTTGTCCCCGGGGGGAGGGGGCACAGCCCTCACGGGACGGGGCACACCTGCCGCAGGAGCCACACCTGTTCAGGTTGGGTTTTGCTGCCAAACAAGAAACAAAAATCGTCCGGTTTTCTAAACTCGGTCAAGGGTGTGGGGTCTGGTGACTTCTCGGGGCCCTGGGACGCCCCTGCCACCTGGGCCCCTGGGCTCCTGCCCACGAATCCCCGATGAGGCGACTAGTTGCTGAGAAAGCGCCTCATCTACCGGACACACGCTGGGCAGCCCAGGAGGACTGGGAGGCAGTGGAGAAATGTTTTAAGAAAAACACACCCTTCGGCCCAGCCAGTGTGGTTCAGTGGTTGAGCATCTCGATTCCCGGTCGGGGCACATGTCCGGGTTGCAGCATCTCGATTCCCGGTCGGGGCACATGTCCGGGTTTCGGGCTCCATCCCCACTGGGGGGCGTGCGGGAGGCAGCCGATCCATGATTCTCATCATTGGTGTTTCTATCTATCTATTCCCTCTCCCTTCCTCTCGGAAATCAATTTTTAAAAAATTAAAAAGGAAAAAAGCAAACCCTTAGAATGAAGACGTCTGTGCTAAGTCATCTGCGAGATGTTGGATTTTGTATCCTTGGAACGTCCTGACCCAAATTCCCGCTCATAGAAATTCTGGGAACAGACCAGCAGTCGGTTGGCAGCGCCTTCCTCCTGGCAATGCCGAGGCGCAGCGCCCGCTGGGCAGAGACCTGTTGGTCATTAACAGTGTCCCCTCCCGCTGGCTGTGCCGCGGCGGTGCCAGCTCACATGCTCAGTCACCCAGGGCGACTTCAGGACGGCGTCCCAGGTGGCAACGCGGGCTCCCTGCGGCGTCCCCACGCCCAGCACTAAGCTGGGCACTCAGCGGGCACCTCCGAACGTACAGCACCAAGAGTGAACCTGATGTGCCCGGCCGGCGTGGCTCGGGTTGAGTGTCAATCTATGAACCGGGAGGTCACGGTTCGATTCCCGGTCAGGGCACAGGCCCGGGTGGCAGGCTCCATCCCCAGTGTGGGGTGTGCAGGAGGCAGCCGATCCATGATCCTCTCTCATTCTCCCTTCCTTTCTGAAATTTACGGGACGGGATCTCGCTCTCCTGCTCCCAGGCACAGTGAGTGACAGCCTGACCTGAGTCCCAGGATGAGGCTCCCGTCTGCCCCGCCCCTTCCCAGCCTCCCAGGCCGCCCCCCAGGCCGCCTGTCCAGCACACAGACGGTCACTGCCCGTAGGAAGGAAGGTCCAGAAAACATCACCTTCAACTTCTTCACAGGATGGCTCTCTGCAGGCCCCGCCTCCCATGGGAATGCCGTCCAAACTATGGCTCAGAGCCAGGCTGGGTTTCTCAGTGGTTAGAGCACCGTCCCAATACACCAAGGTTATGGGTTCGATCCCCGGTCAGGGCACTTACAAGAATCAACCATGAATGCGGAAATACGTGGAACAATAAATCAGTCTCTCTCTCTCTCTCTCAAACCAATTTAAAACATTTAAAAAAGAGAGAGAGAAGAAAAAAACAAAACAAAATATGACTCCGAGCCCCCGCGTGTCTGCTCAATGACACATATTCGTTCTGCTCAGTGAAAGAATCTTCCCTTTTTGCTTTTTGTTGTAAGACATTTATTAGTAACAGGATAACCAGCCACGGGGTGACATTCTAACACATTCAAAACCCCCCCACGCACGTGGGAGAGAAAAATGGGGAAACCAAGAAGAATGCGGGCGTGTGGCACGTGCGTGCAGGTCTCGGGCTCCCCTTCCACACGCTGCACACACCCCCAGGGCCGCGGAGGGCGGGGGTCTTACTCTTAAAGCCCAGTTTCCGTTCCCAGTGGAAGAGGAAGCGATGATCGCTTCCACACGCAGGCCGTTCTGTGCAAACTCTTTCCGGAACAGTCGCTCTGAGCTGAATGCTGGTTCTTAGGACCCCCCATCCCCTCGGGGCTCCCCCTAAACCTGAGGCCCAGAGGCTGCTGCGCCCACCGCCCCAGGGAAAGGCTGCTCTCGGCTCCCGGCTGGCTCGGGGGAAGACAAAGGGGAAGACGGTGCTGACAAACACGTGCTGCTCGGGGGCCGGGCGGTG